CCAGCCATGAACCCTCGAGAGGAAACCTACACAGACGCCTTCCGTGCTCCAGCCGAGACCCTTAGTAGTAGTAGTAGTAGTAGTAGTAGTAGTCGTGGTGGTGGTGGTGGTGGTGGTAGTAGTAGTAGATGTAGTAGTAGTCGTCGTAGTAGTCGTAGTAGTCGTAGTAGCAGCAGCAGCAGCAGCAGCAGTAGCGAGGGGGTACTTGCAATTTAGTAGGGATGATAGTAATAAACGTTTTCTCCCTAATCCTGGAAACATGAGCAATCTTTGGAGCAGTGCCAAATGTTGGCAAGGACATCCGTGTGAATGGAATGGCGTGAACTGCGCGGATGGCTGCCATGTCACGAAGTTGGATCTTTTGGCACGGAAGGAGATCGCAGGCGACCTCGTGCCGGTCGGGAACTTGCGCCGCCTCAGGTATTTGGACCTGTGCAACACCCAGGTCTCCGGTGATCTGGCACCCTTACAGAACCTCACCCAGCTCTGGTCCCTGTCCCTGTCCAACACCCAAGTGTGGGGCGACCTTGGCCACCTCCAGAACCTCACCCTCCTGACGCGGCTCTTCCTCTCCCAAACCCAGGTGTCAGGCAGCCTGGGCAGCCTGCAAGGCCTCACGGAGCTCGCTCAGCTTTCCCTGTCCCAGACGCGTGTGTCGGGGGACTTGCAAGCTTTATCACACCTCAGCGTCCTGGGTCGCCTGCACCTTTCCCACACGCAGGTGTGAGGCGACTTGGCGAACTTGCAGAAGCTCACCCAACTCTTCTCCCTGTCCCTTTCCAGAACCCAAGTCTGGGGGAGCCTCAAGCCTTTGCAGCACGTCGGGCTTGAGAAGCTGTACCTATCCCAAACTCAAGTGACGGGTGATTTGGGTCCCCTGCGGAACCTCAGTCGCCTTATGCGAGTGGACCTGTCCCAAACCCAGGTGCGGGGCATCCTGGAACCCCTGCAGAACCTCAGAGCACTTCAGTGGTTGCTGCTCTCCCGAACCCAGGTGTCAGGTGAGATGGGCCCCTTGCAACACCTCACCCGCCTGAAGCGGCTCCACCTCTCCCAAACTCAGGCCTCCGGCAAGCTGGGCAACCTGCAGGGTCTAACGAAACTCAGTGAGTTACACCTCTCTCACACCCAAATCTCGGGGGACCTGGGACCCCTTCGGCGCTTGCGGAAGCTTCAGCATCTGGACGTCTCCGACTCCCCCGTTGGGGGCGAGCTCAGTGCGCTCGTCAACCTGACGGGCCTGGCAACCGCCGACCTAAGCCACACCCGCATCACCGGCTGGTTTTCTGCGAATATCTGGAAAGGCTGCTGCCAGCACTTGCGCACGCTCAACCTGGTAGCTGGGCTCTCAGTACTTACCTGCGCCATGAGGTCCATAGGTCGCAGCTGCGGGAACGCCGGGCTTGCTTGCTGAGCGCTGAGGCCAGCAGGGCAGGTGGCGAACTCCCAAAAGTCTTCTTCCCCTTGGAAGTCTCAGAGACCCAGCCGTTTCTCGGGAGCTTGCAAGAATTGGATGCGAGCTTCTGAGTCGTTTGAAGCCGGAACCTGGCTGGGTCATGCTGGGTCAATCTAGATTTGTCTTGCCAGCCTCAAGTGTCTCAGGTATCTGGATGCGAGCTGCGCGGAACTGTAACCGATTTCATGCTTGCACTCGCGGCAACACCACTGGTCAAAGTGCGTGCGAGGGCCTGCGGCCTGCGTGGCGCAATGCCGTGCCTGGAGAACTTGCCTGCCACATTGATCTTTAATGAGACGAGGAATGAGACGAGACCAAGTTGGGATGCCACCCTGCTCGGGACTCTGCAGGCCATGGACCTGTCAGAGAACAACCTCACCCGACTCGAGGAGTTGCCCGCGGCCTCACAAGTTCGCTTGCAGCGGAGCCCGGGTTCAGTGTTCAGGAGCTGCATTTTCGGTTAAAAATGTCGATCGAATCCATCGGATCTATCGTAAATAGCATAATATGGTCTCCTCATTACGGTAGCTTACACCCTACACCCTACACCCTAACCCTAAACCTATTCTGGAAACTTAAGTTAGGAAGAACCCAGGAACAGCCGGCCGCTGGTCCTTGCACCAGTGGCAGTGCAGAAAGCGCTCGGCCGACAGACGTTCCTGGACTTATCCGGCACGGCTTTGGCAAACAGGGAGGACAGGAAGCAGTGGTTCAGGGTTTAGGGTTTTAAGAAACCATCTTCTGGGCTGAAAACTAAATTTTGAGAAGCCATCTTCTGTTTTGGAAACTAAAAAAGCCCTTTTGGGGAGGATATGAAGCAGTTGCTCCAGAAGGAGCTGAAGCTGCAGGATGACAGGTCGCGGCCTCGTGGATCTCAAAGTCAAACACACATGGGTTACAGGCAGCATCCTACGGTTTAGGGTTCAGGGTTTAGGGTTTAGGGTTTTAGGGTTTAGGGTTTAGGGTTTAGGAGTAGTGAACTGCTGCCTTCCAGTGCAAGACCTAGGGGCACCATGTGTCACCGCGTACCATAATCAATGCCTCTCCCGCATGTTCGACATCCAAGCTATGTAAACTCTCGAAGCAATGGACACATGGGAAAAGCACTGTGTACACGTGGAAAAAGAAAAACGTAGATCAGCAAAAATGAAACATAGAAACCGAAACAACAATAAACATATGACAGTAATGAACCAGAAAAGAACAGCCAAAGCGTCAACAGAAGCAATAAACAGTAGACGCAAAAAGCCAAGCAAGAAGTGATGCACCAACACAGAAAACAATGCAGCACCGCACGTAAAGCCAACAATAAAACACTGAACGAAGCAGAAGATATAAGACAACCAGAACAAACGTTCGAATTCTACACGCGCTATCTTTCCAAGAGTTCACCATCATAGTTCTAAGCTTGAGACAGGTCATTCAGAAATTGGGCATTAGCATGGCTCCCTCTCTTATACGGGGCGGGTCACGGTCTCAAGGGAACACTTCAAGGGTGTCGGATAAAGCATCGACCATCGGGTCCTCTTAAAGGTGCTATCGGGTTCCATCATAGGGTCCCCTTATCCTAGGTGGTTTTAGGGAGACCCCTTAAAGGGGACCCCTCTTAACCCTACTTGTCGCTCTCTTAAAAGGGACATTATTGAGAGGGTCTATATCCCCAAGGGTCCCCCTCATCCTAACTCCTACCTTAAAGGAACCCTTAAGGGGGACCGGGGGTTTTCCAGTTTGGAGCATGTGCGCCACACGAGCTTGTTCAGGACCGTCGATCCGAAGTCATTCGACTTTAAACCCCACGCCGTAAGCCTTTAGGGTTAGGGTTGGGTTGAGGGCTTGGGATTTGTGGTTTACCGTTTAGGGTTCGGGGTTTCGGGTCTAGGGCTTAGGGTTTTAGTGTGGAGGTTTACTGAAGACACGACAGAGTTTTTTGCCAGCGAACAGCGCGCCAACAGCTATCGTGAAGAAGAATCTAGAGTCTCTGCATTTCCCTGGGTTCTGGAACTAGGCTCCAAAGAAGTTTTGCCCCTTTGGCGGAAAAGTCTCGAAGCACATTCAACCCCTCGGTGCTACTTGCTGCTGTCGGGAAGATGTGACAGCTAGTAACTCAGAATTGAGAGCTCGGCAGTTTTGACGATGATTTTAAGGGTTTAGGGTTTTGGGCCCTGAGGTCGGTCACCAACAAGACGGAGGGCTGGGCCTGCGCGGTGCCGGCGGCTGGCACTTTGCGCATCACGCCGCAACTATTTCTGCCTTTGGACATGTGCGCGTGCCAAGCCGGATTTTATGGTCATGGAATCAGCTGCACGGGGCCAAGCAACCTGCAAGCCTTGCCCACCGGACAGCTACTCCAGCGGTTCTGCAACTACTTGCGAGTGCATGTTCGGCAGCATGCGTGGCCCACCCGGCAATGAGAGCTGCCAGTGCAGAGCAGGCACCGCACTTTTGGAGGACAGGTGCGAGCTCTGCAGCGAGCTCCGTCTCGAATGCAAAGATCAGGGACTACTTGCAGCAGAAGCACCTCCAACGCCGGGGTATGCGCGCCTCCTGCAGTCATCGGAAAGGGCTTACCACTGCCTTATCCCGCAACACTGTGCGAGCAGCACGATGTCGGGGTGCAAGACCGGTTGCATGTGTCGAATATCCTTTTTCGTTTTTTTTGGTAGTTGAATTGGGACATGTTTGGTATGGTCTTAAGGCCATGTGGTGTTGCCGGTCGCTACGAAGTGAAGTTGCAGAAACAAGAACTGCTGCATGCAGCAGCGGGGGCAAGAGCAATTAGGCAACAAGGACGACGACAGCACCACCAACGACGGCGGTCAACAATCAACGATTAACGATCAACCGGCAACAAAAGCAAGCAACAAGCAAAAGGCAACAAGCAACACGGAGCAAGCAGCACGCAAGAAGCCACAGCAGAATCACGACAACAAGCAGCAAGCTACACGCACACACACACACACACACGCACACAAGAAGAAACTTGCAACAAGCAACCTGCTACAAGCAACAAATGAAGAACAGCAAGCAGCAAGAACTGTATAGCCGCACAAGCAATAAACAACATGGAACAACACAACTGCCAATAATGTAACAACGCATCAGCACGCCAACAGAACAAGACAACAGCACACCAACACACCAACACACCAACACACCAACACACCAGCACACCAGCACACCAGCACAACAGCACAACACACAACAACAAAACACAATATAACAACACAAAGCAACACAACAACACAACAGCACAACAGCACGCCAGCACACCAGCACGACAGCACAACAGCACAACGCCACACCATCACAACGACACAGCAGCACAGCAGCACAATAACGCACACGCACACGCACACGTGCACGCAC